CAGCACTGTTTTAGTTGTGGGCGCCAGAAAAGTCCAATCCAAAATCGCTTAGGCAGAGAACCATCCCTACAATAGAATTCTACTCATACTAAAAAGAAACAAACCAGCCGGGACCGGTTTGGCTCAGTCCCGAGTTCGATTCCGGGCAAGGGCATGTTCCTTGGTTGCAGGCACATCCCCCGTAGGGGGAGTGCAAGAGGCAGCTGATCGATGGTTCTCTCTCATCGATGTTTCTAACTATCTCTCTCTTCCTCTCTGTGAAAAATCAATAAAATATATTAAAAAAAAAAAAAAAAAGAAAGAAACAAACCAGATATGTGCACCAACACTGATGAATCTCAAACATTGGGCAAAGTAAGTCAGATGCAAAAGAATACACACTGTATGATTCCATTAATATGAAGTTCTAGAACAGGCAAAAGTATATGGTGATAGAAATGTTTAATTTTTTTATACAATACATTTGTCCAAACTCAATGAACTATGTACTTAAAATATATGTATTTTATTTTATGTAAATTATTATACCTCACTTTCAAAAGTGAATGCCTTGCCTCCTGTAACAGAAGTCTAGAGGAATGGCTTGACCTGGGGCTCAAATGTTGCCATCGAGATTCAGCTTCTCAGCTCTGCTCCCATGGGTTGGCTTTATTTCTGGGGAGACAGTCCCTTGCTGTGGTAAGGGGGCTATAGCACTGCCCACTCTCACATCCTCCTGAGTTCACAACTGATACGGAAAAGGAAGCCTGAAGGGTACCGATGGTCCTGTGTCAGCTGCTCACCCTGAACCAATCTCAGGGCTAGGGCCTTTGATTTTCCAGATGGCCAGGCATGAGTCAGATGTTCTTCCCCTTGGAAAGGAGGTGTGGAGTATGAGTTTACCATGTCTGACCATCCTGGGCTGTGAGGAGGGAGAGTGGGACATAGGTCACTGTGCCAAAGGATGTGCAGTGATGTGCCAGGGAGCATGTGAGGGAGATGGCAGGTGAGCTGCCCCAGCATTCCCACACACGCTCAGGCTGCTCACAGCCCATCTTCGAGTGCCAGGAAAGACTCGGGCTCAAGTCCCATGCCGCCCTCACTGCCTCTAATAACCCCGTGGGCATTTCTGGTGTTTCTAGCAGGCCCTAGCATTCTTACTTGTCAGTAAGAAGTAATGCCATTTGGGTCTGATTACTCAGTCAAATCTAATCCTAAACATTCCTATGTCTTATCTAGAAACTTGACCTCACATCTGTGGGCTGGTTAGGATGTAGCAATTCCAGGCCAGCCAGAAGTTGGGTAAAGTATAGGAGCAAGAAAACTTCTTATCTATGAGCTGGAATGGCTGCTTATCTTAGCTCTGAGAATGTACGTAAAGGAATTAGTCATTAAAGCTTCTCTGTCAAATGGAACACAGCTTTGATGAACCATGTAATTTTGAGTCAGATTCAACTATCCCTTCATAGTAATTTTAGGAAGTGGCAAGGAGAGAGGCTGGCAATGATTTTAGCCCTTTAATGTTAAATTAGCTTAATATTAAGGCTATTTTAACCATATCTGAAAAAATAACTAGTTTTCTGGTTTTTATTTTAAATCAGGGACCATTTAAGACTTTGTTAATTTTAAGATGATTGCAACTCAGATTCTGAATCTCTAATTTGAAATAAGAGGGCTGTGTAGGCAACCCGCTGGGAAGTGAAAATGAGAAACCTTTGTAGAAGGAGACAAGTCATTCATTTCTTTTTCTTTCTTTCTTTTTTTTTTTTTAATATATTTTATTGATTTTTTTTTACAGACAGGAAGAGAGAGGGATAGAGAGTTAGAAATATCGATGAAAGAGAATCATCGATCAGCTGCCAATTGCACACCCCCTACTGTGGATGTGCCAGCAACCAAGATACATGCCCTTGACTGGAATTGAACCCGGGACCTTTCAGTCTGCAGCCCCACACTCTATCCATTGAGCCAAATCGGTTTCGGCACGTCATTCATTCCTGAGTTACTAGTCCAAAGGCCACTGGTACAGGGATTCTCTGAGTAGGTTGGGGCTGTAGATAAACCACTCTCCCGCCTTCTAGTGGAGGCCAGGTGTGTGCAGAGCTGCCTGGCAGTGCTGCCTGTGGGCCACTCCCTGGGAACGACCACAGCGCTATCAGTGGGCAGGGCCTCAAGATAAGCTTCAAACAGGAAAGGAGCCTTCCTCAGATCCCAGGGCTTCTACTTGCTGGGTGGGAAGAATACCTTAGGTTAGAATGAAACTTATTTGGATCTTAAACTTTTCAGAATGAAACATTTAACCCAAATATCCCAAGAAATAATGGACAAAGAACACAGATAATTCACCAACAAAGGAATTCAAGTGATCAATAATATATGGGGGGGAAAAAGCTTCCCTTCACTAATAATAAATGCAAATTGAAAGAAGAGGATACCTGTTTTTTGCATATCAACTTGGCAAAGATTAAAAATAATATTTTTTAATTCTACAAATAAATTGAGACAGAACCCATTTTAAAAATGGGAAAATTACCTAAATTGATATTTCTCCAAAGAAGACATACAAATGGCTAAAATATGTTCAAATCATGAACCATCAAGGAAATGCAAATCAAAACCACAGTGAGATAAAGTGTGGTTATATAATAATAGAAATGATAAACAGCAAGTACAGGCAGTCCCTGGGTTACATCAGACTCCACGTACGTCGTTTCGTGGTTACGTCGCCATCTCCCATTTTTTTATTAAAAAAAAGTTCTGTCATTTTGACATACGTACATATGTGCTTTATGGTTTTTATTATTTTTTTAAATATATTTTATTGATTTTTTACAGAGAGGAAGGGAGAGAGATGGAGAGCTAGAAACGTCGATGAGAGAAAAACATTGACCAGCTGCCTCCTGCACACCCCCTACCGGGGATGTGCCCGCAACCAACGTACATGCCCTTGACCGAAATCGAACCTGGGACCTTTCAGTCTGCTGGCCAACACTCTACCACTGAGCCAAACCGGTTTCGGCGGTTTTTATTATTTATTGACCACAAGTAAAGGTCAGGAATTGTTATCTTTCTTTTGAACTTTTTTCACTGTCTCACTTCATTACTGCTGTGTCTGTGCTCCATGTGAGTGACGTGGGTGCTTATGTAGGTGGGTTCCGGCTTACCGCGATGCGTTATGTCGGGCCGTAGGAACGGATCTCTGACGTAACCCGAGGACCTGCTGTATTGGTGAGGATATGGGCCAATTATAACCCTCCTCATCTGTTGGTGGGAATGTAAAATAGTATGATCACTTTGGAAAATAGTTTGACAGTTCCTCACGTGGTAAACGTGGAATTAGCCACATGACACAGCAGTTCCCCTCCAGGATACATTGCCAAGAGAAAGGAAACATCACCACGCGGAAAGTTACACACACATAAGCAGCCCTATTCACAAGAGCCAAAGAGTGAAAGCACCCCCCAAATGTCCATCAGCTGATGAATGGGTAAATAAATGGGGTGCATCCATACAGGGACGTATTAGGGACAAAAAGGACTGACACATGCTAGGTACATGGATGAACCTAGAAGCCCATTACAAAGACCACATTTTGTATGATGGCATTGCTATGAAATGTCCAGAATAAGCAAATATACGCAGGCAGGAGGTAGTAGATTAGTGGTTGCCTCTGACTAGGGAGAGGGGACAAAGGACAGGGAGGGAGTGCTTTTCTCTCCTAGAAGATAATGGGGTCTAGTGTGTGGGGCCCTTAAAGAGGTTAGACTCCATCACCTGCCCTAGAAATGTTCTTAAAGAAAAAACTTGAAGTTCATGAAGCTACCTGTTCACCAATATGCAACCACAGCGCTATCAATGGTCAGGACCTCAAGCAGGGAAAAGAAACATGAATATGACAATGGGACCATCCTCCAGTGTCCCTCTATCCCCAAACACATGAAACATGTCATATTCATGTTTCTTTTCCCTACGTATGCCTCCCATTTGAATCACTGCTGTCATGACAACAAAAAATGTCATCAGTTACTTATCAAATACTTATCGCAGATGCTTGGAAACTGTTCAACTATAAGGACATGGTAAATCCTAAAAAGGGGGCAGCCTGATAAATTAGGGTATCCCCCTTCCTCTTTCTCTAAAATCAATCAATAAAAAAATTTTTAAGGAGGCAGTATTATACAATCATTAAAATAATTGTTTTGAGGAACACTTCATAATAAAGGCAATTTTCACGATAGAGTGTGAAGTGAGAAAGCATGGTAACCTTCCTGTGCCCTGTGCGGAACTCCTGAGGCTGCTGCCCTTAGGGAGGCCTGCCTGCAAGGTTGGCTCCCTCGTGGGGTGGCGACTAGAAACCTGGCCCTTGGAGGGTTGCCTCCTTCCCCAAACTGATAAGGCTGCTTACTGTGCCTAGCCTGGTGATAAAAGCCGTGTGGCTGAGTGAGCACCTGCTCTCCTCCTGGGAGCCTGGAGCTTTGGTCCGTGCTAGGCAGAAGGTGCCTTTGTGACCAGCCCCCCATATTGATTCTCAGATGGGCCAACCTGGGCAGAGTCATCGCATACATGTTGCTGGGAGAAGAGAGTGCTCTTGTGACCACATGGGAGAGAGAGAGAGAGAGCACCAAGAAGCCTGCAAATGATTCCTCTGTCTTTTCCTCTGTGACCCATCTGTGCATCCTTACCAAGCTGCTGTCATAATCTTAACCATGAGTGCCACTACATGCCAAGTCCGTGAGTCCTAGCGAATCTCCAAACCAGGACTCCTGACACAGCCACTAATGTGGAAAATAACATGTATGTAAAATACACGGGGAGAAAATAAACCAATTTACAGTGGCGGGTTGGAATATATTATGATAAGTGACTTTTATTTTCTTTATATAATAGTTTACATATTTTCCATTTTGTTACTTTCGTTTTTAGAGAAGATTAGTTTTAAAATCCTTTTCTGTTGTATTAAATGTTGTCATCAGTTTCAGAGTGGCTGACCTCTGACTGGGGCATCTCTCCTTTTCCCTTAGGGCTGTAACCCCCTGGCACAAACTGGCCGCAGCAAACTGCAGAATCAGAGGGCTGCCTTGAACCAGCAGATCCTGAAAGCCGTGCGGATGAGGACAGGAGCGGAAAACCTTCTGAAGTAGGTGTCTGCGGGCTCCCTGGCCTCCCCTGAGGCCTGCCATCGATTCCTAAACTCCTGGGCCTGCCCAGCTTTCTCCCAGTTCTCGGTTTTAGCTTTGGTTTCCTTCGCATTCCTGGCACCTGGAGCAGGCCCTTTCTCCGCTAGAGCTTGGTTGTGTTAGAGCCAAGTTTTTTACCTAGCCTGCATGCGTTTGGGGATAGAGGGACACTGGAGGATGGTCCCATTGTCATATTCATGTTTCTTTTCCCTGCTTTCTGTGGGACTTGTCTACTTTCCCTACGTATGCTTCCCACTCGAATCACTGCTTGGCAATTGTGTGTTAAATGTATAATACAAAGGTAAGGAATGCAAAAAGGAGGGAGTGGAGGTATTTCCATTGCCAGTGTCTATCCCTCTAATGAGAGGGGCCCCATACAGCCCAATATGCCTGGGGCACTCATTATTATGCTCTGCTGGTAAAATAGTTACTTATCAAGCATATCAAGCATGGAACTCGGTGAAGCCCTACCTGTGTCACAGGCAGCTCCAAGCCCTCCCCACCCCTTCAGCACAATGCAGGGACGTGTGCCAGCTTCCTCTTCTGAACTTCCTTCAGCGTCGTAGGGGTAGTAACTCCTGTCCGCTGCGTGCTGGCTCCGCACTGGGTAGTTGAGGCAGGCACCGTGCCTGCTGGCCTGGGAAGGGAGACCCATGCCTCCTGGAGCCTCAGAAGGAGACGTGGAGTGCTTGTAGGAACCTGGAGCCTGGGAACCTGGCAGAGAACCCCGAAACCTGGCAGGATACGGCTTATAGGTGTTTTCAGTGGGTCAACCTTAGGGAGCCCTAGTAGCCCAGAGGTTTTGGGAAAATAAATACACCAAACTGGGTTTCTATAAAGGAACCACAATACTCTGGTAGTCACAGGTATGCATATTGATGGGATCAACTCCTCCACCTGGGGGCCACTTATCTGAGCTCTAATAAACATTTCTGACCATGAATTTGGGCTAAAATTCTGAATCAGTTTGTATTTGCTCCTTAAGAAAATTTCTGATGGGGGGAGGGGTGCATGACAGCATGCCTTGTGTTTGTTTTAAAGGATTTGTACAAATGCTTTTGTGTATGCACAGACTATTTCCAAAAGGATGAAAAGAGAAGCTGTTACTAGAGCTGGCTCTTGGGGGCAAGGCCAGTGTTGGGGGGTGGGAGTATAGGTGACTCTCCTTTTCATTTTACTCCTGTCAGTGTTTAAACGTTATGAAGTACGTGAATTACTTTCATTCATTCTTTATTATGGATTACTGTAAAGGCCCAGGAGAATATTATATGCAACCCCGGAACCTGCCAGGATTCAGGAGCGACAGTGCTGTGCCTGTGTTTTGTTACTCAAGGACTAGCCCCAGGACACACATCCCGAGGGTAGAAGGGAGATTATTACTGGAGGGGACTGGGAAGATATTGTAGTGTTTCAACCTTTTAAAATGGCTGACGGTATCTCTGTCTCCAGAAAAGTCTGGGAATTGTCAGGTCCACAGGACTATGGACCACGTGTGGCCAGTGTAGCTTGGGAGAGACCCCTGTTTCCAGGAGTGGCTGCTGTGTGCTGGGCTTGCTGTGCTGGGAAGGCCGCAAGCACAGGCCCCGGGATGATGCTGAGGCTGCTGGTTTTGGTTGACACTTTGACAAGCCAGTTTTGTAGCCTAGGGGACAAGTGGGCAGCCCTGACCCATGGCTTTCCCAGAAGCAGGCTGCAGTTGCTCTATTTGCCTGTTCACTCACCCCACAAATGGATTTGTTGAGCACCTACTTAGTGGCAGTAATGTTTGAAGTGCCAGGATAAAGCTGCCAGCAACTCAAATGGGACTGCTTTCATGGCACTTCATTTCTGGTGGTGGAATCTTAATACCCTAGTAAGCATCTCGTCATGTCAGGAGGAGGCGTTTCCAGGATGTTGATGAAAGGGAAATGTGATAGAGGTTGACAAAGGGTAGTCAGGGAGATCCTCTCTCACTAAGAGACTTGGGGTTGCTAAGGTGGGAACTAGGGCAGTTTTGTCTGTCTTGGTCTGTTAATAACAGCAAACAGCCTTTCTCAGGCCCAGTGGCCCAGGCTCATTGTCAAGCCAGCAGTTGTAGATCTGGCAGGGTGGGGGTGGAGTGGTATTGTTAATGATTCTCACAGTGACCTAAAGGTTCAAAGTGCCCCTCTGTGGAGAATGTTGTTGGAGGAAACCCTGAAGGTATTTATTAATCTGCCAGCACCAACGGTTTCCCAAAAGCAAAGGGTGTTCAGCCAAGCCAAGCTCAGCTCTAGCCCCGAGGATTTCCCGGGGTTGCTGAGGAGGTGGCTGCCCCTGCCAGCAAGGGGTAGTTTCAGTTATAAATTGGGCCCTGCTGTCATGTCTGTTGGCTCTTTTGTTTTCAAGTTCCCACATTATCCATCCCAGCCCCCCAGATAAAGGTAGAGCAGTTGGAATATGTTTGAGGGGAGGGCATTTGGGAAAATGTCCCCCAAAATGCAGAAATGCAAGGGTCCTGGTCCTTAGTTGCATTGGTAAGGGGGCTTCGAAGCTGGGCAGGTACTGTGAGGAGCCAGGTTTATACCCCTTCAAAGTCTCCTCTGATCTGTATCAGCCAGGAGCCCATGAACTTCCTGGAGTTTGATTGGGAAGATATTGGATATATATTTTTAATGAGATATCAGGTATTTTTAATGTTCTTTTTCAGGCTAAGCAAGGACAATATTCTCTCTTCCCAGTTCCCTCCCCTCCCTTGAGAAAAGCTGGGTAGAAATGTGATGACATTTCTCTGACACAGTCAGTCTTAGTGAAATTTAAAGCAAGTTGCCATATAGTTTATATTAATTGATTCTTTGAACAAGGGTAAGTCATTTAACCTCTTTGGGCTTTATGTTCCCCTCTTGTACTGGTTACTGTTGTGCTGGAGCAAGGGTGGCCCACTCTGAGGCCTACAGGGGCCTCATGGGCGTGACAAAGGGTGAAGGGTTAGGACTGGTGCTGCGGTAAAACCATAGCGAAGTGCAGGGCAGATGCTCTTTGGAGGGGCAGCTGCAATTTGCCCTGTGTGGAGGGCAGGCCAGGGTTGCCAGGTATTCAGATTCCCCCCAAGATTCTAAAGCAGTGTTTCCCAAAGTGTGGTACGCGTACCCCCAGGGGTACGGGAAGAGTTTGGTGGGGGTACGCGTTGCACCAGAGTTTGCTGGGGATATGCACTGCACTGTGCTTAGTTGTGCCTAATTCTATGTTCTCATGGGTACGAGGGGTACTCAACGTTACGAAAATTATAGAAGGGATACACATATGTCAAAAGTTTGGGAAACACTGTTCTAAAGATCTGACTTTTTTGTGTTTAATCCTCTAATAGTTGAATTTTTACATATAGGCAACTAGCTGAAGGGACAATGGGGAATAAACATTCTAGGAGTCAAGCAAACAAGACCCACAAACCTCTAGTTTGTGACCTCCAGCCCAAAGGGTCATGAAGTTCTGGGCCAGGGGTGACTGGGGTGGCTTTGGCTGTGAGGAGAGTGACTTGAGGTAAGGGACTGCTCACACTGTCCGTTCTGAGGGGGCTGGCTCGTGTCTCTGCAGTGGGGTGTGCAAGTTCTCCATGGCCTTCAGCGCCTGCCCTAATCCTGAGACCTGCCTTCTAACACTGAGGGATGAGCTGGGGGCCTATCTCCTGGCTGCTTGGCTGACCTGCTGCCTTAGCCTTGTGCCTACATGACAACACCAGACAGACAAAACTGAACCTCTGGCTGAGCAGGATGTGGGGTCAGATGGACTAAGGCCGACCTGCTCCAATAAGGCCTTGGAAGCTGGTGCAAGCCTCTGGTGCCTGTTCCTTGAAGGACAATTTTTTTTTATAATATATTTTATTGATTTTGTACAGAGAGGAAGGGAGAGAGATAGAGAGTTAGAAACATCGATGAGAGAGAATCATCATCGATCAGCCGCCTCTTGCACCCCCCCCACTGGGGATATGCCCACAACTAAAGTACATGCCCTTGACCGGAATCGAACCCGGGACCCTTCAGTCCCCAAGCCGATGCTCTATCCATTGAGCCAAACCAGTTTCGGCTTGAAGGACAATTTTATTGAAGGACCTGGGAGAGGGGAAATGACGCAAAGGCAAATGGAGATATATGGGTCAGAATGCAAATTCATATGCATTTAAAAAACAAACCATGGGGATGTTAAGGAAATGTTGGACTTGGGGCAAGAAGCCATCATCACACAGGGATTCTTCTGGTGGAAAAAGCCTCAGAAACTCCAACTTGAGGAAACCATGTGCAGATGTGGTCAGTAGCCTCAGGAAATAATTGAATGTGGCTTTCCTTCCCCTATTCACACGTGGCGGGTTGATCACTTAGACAAAGGAAGTGGCACACCTTCTAACTCTGGACGTTTGTAGTATGTGCGTGCGCTTTATGAAAACCCATGGGAGCGGGCCTTCCCTGGTGGTCAGGGCGGCCTGGAGACTCCGGGCAGGAAAGGGCTGAAACGCCCGCTGCCTCATCCATGTGGGCCTCAAGGCCTCTTGGCTGTACCCAGACCACAGGGCCTCAGGGGAGGGACACCCCAAGGGAAGCTGTGAAAAGCCATGTTCTAACGAGAAGGCCCAGAGAAGCCATTCTTTTTCATCTGGAAAGACCCTTAAATCCCTTAAATCCACAGGCCAGATATTGAGGAGACCAAGGCTCTGGTCTTACTTCCTAACTTCAGTCAAGTCAACTGATTCTGTTCTTGTCTATTGCCCCAAGCTATTCCCCCAGGCTAGTTCCAGGAGCTGAACACACGCACCATATTGAATTGGTGTGCCTTATTTGAAAAGCCCCTTTCCATGAGTGAATCAGTGAAAAATCATTATCTGTACAAGAAACAGTTCAAACTCTATAGTTGATTTCTGAATCATTAGTATACCCCAGTGATTTTCAACCAGTGTGCCGAAAGACTTTTTAAAGCATGCAATACCTCACTATTTAGTCAGGGACACTGA